ACCAATCTCACAATTGCTGCTACATTTAAGCACACTGCTGCTGCCACTGTGCCAATTCATCTCACTGGGAGGCGGGTCCCCTCTATTTTCCTGACCCTCCACTTTACCAAGCATGCTGTCCTTTTCCAGGGGTTGGCCCCTCCATATAATATGAAGTAAGAGAATATGTCTGAAGCATGAGAGATGGGTTGGGTCATCTCAGCTTCTAAGAAGCATTCTGTTTGTAGTTCTTCCAATACAGATTTGTTTGCTCTTCTGGAAGTCTTAATATTCTTCTCCAACACCATAAGTCAAATGCATAAATTCTTCTACAGTTTTCCTTATCCGTTGTCCAACTTTCACATGCATATGAGGCTACTGAAAATACTATGGTTTGGGTTGTTGCACTTTAGTCCTCAAACTGACATCTTTGCTCTTGAACACTTTAAAGAGGTCTTGTGCAGCAGATCTGCATAATGCAATAGATTGTTTGATTTCTTGATTTCTGCTTTCATGAGGTTTGATGGTGGTGGTGTCAGGTGCCATCAAGTCAGTACTGACTCACAGCGACCCCATACACAACAGAACAAAAACACTGCCCGGTCCTGGGCTAACCTCACAGTCATTGCTACGCCCGAGCCCATTGCTGTTGCCACTGTGCCAATCCATCTTGTTGGGGGTCTTCCTCTTTTTCTCTGATCCTCCACTTTACCAAACATGATATCCTTCTCCAGGGACTGGTCCCTCCTGACAGTATGTCCAAAGTATGAGAGATGAAGTCTGGACATCCTGGCTTCCAAGGAGCACTCTGGCTTTACTTACAACACAGATTTGTTTGTTCTTTTGGCAGCTCATGGCACTTTCAATATTCTCCAACACTATATATAACTCAAATGCATCAATTTTTCTATGGTCTTCCTTATTCACTGTCCAACTTTTGCATGTATTGAGATTACTGAAAATACCATGGCTTGGGGGTCCAGAGCACCTTAGTCCTCAACCTGATGTCTTTGCTATTGAACACTTTTAAGAGGTCCTGTGCAGCAGATTTGCAAATGCAGTGTGTCATTTTATTTCTCAATGTAGTATGTCATTTGCTTTCTTGACTGCTGCTTCCATGAGTGTTGATCCGAACAAAATGAAGTCTTTGACAACTTCAATCTTTTCTTCACTTATCATGATGTTATTTATTGCTCCAATGGTGAGGATTTTTGTTTTCTTTCCATTGAGGTGCAATCCATACTGAAGGATGTGGTCTTTGATCTTTATAAGTATCAAGTCATTTTCACTTTCAGCAAGCTAGGTTGCATCATCTGCATATTGAGGGTTGTTAAAGAGTCTTTCCCACAATCGTGATGCCACATTCTTCTTCACATAAAGCAGCATCTCGGATTACTTGCTCAGCACATAAACTGAATAAGTATGGTAAAAGAATACACTAGTATACACCCTTCCTGATTTTAAACCATTCAGTGTACCCTTGTTCTGTTCGATCAGTTGCCTACAGGTCCTTCATAAGCACAATTAAGTGTTCCAGAATAATCATTCTCAGCAATGTTGTCCATAGCTTGTCGTCGATCCACACAGTCAAAAGCCTATGCAGTCAATAAAGCACAGGTAAACATCTTTCTGGTATTCTCTGCTTTCAGCCAAGATTCATCTGATGTCAGCAATGATATCCCTCATTCTACATCCTTGTCTGAAATTTACTGTGGCTACCGTGTTTGAATTATCTTTAGGAAAATTTTACTTGCTTGTGATATTAATGATACTGTGCAATGATTCCCACATTCTGCTGGGGCACCTTTCTTTGGCATGGGCACAAATATGGATCTCTTCTAATCGGTTGGCCAGGTAGCTGTCTTCCAAATTTCTTTTATGAAGAAGTGTCTCCAGTGTTGCATCAGTTTGTTGAAAGATTTCAATTTGTATTCTATCAATTTTTGGGAGCCTTGTTTTTTGAGAATGTCTTCAGTGCACCCTGGACTTCTTCCTTCAGTACCATTGGCTCTTGATCATGTTACCTTTTGAAATGGCTGAACATCAACCATTTCTTTTTGCTAAAGTAACTCGATGTATTCCTTCCACCTTCTTTTGATGCTTTCTGCATCATTCAATATTTTGCCCAAAGAATCCTTCAGCATTTCAAGTTGAGGCTTAAATTTTTTCCTCAGTTCTTTGCACATTTCATTATAATATTTGACTTTGTCTTCTCGAGCTGCCCTTTAAAATATTATGTTTAGCTCTTTTACCTTTTCATTTCTTCCATATGATTTAGCATCTCTATGAAGAGATTTTTAGTGTCTTCTGACATCCATTTTGATCTTTTCCTTCTTTCCTGTCTTAATGACCTGTTGTTTTCTTCCTGTATGATATTATCAATGTCATCCCACAACTCTTCTGGTTTTCAGTCATTACTGTCTTAATACATCAAATCTGTCATTGAGATCTTCAAATTCTTGAAATGATCTCTTAATTTAGGTGGGATATGTTCAAGGTCACATTTTGGCTCTTAATGGACTTGTCTTCATTTTATTCAGTCTCAGCTTGAACTTGCATATGAGTCATTGATGGTCTGTTCTATAGCCTTCCCCTGAGCTTGTTTTGGCTGTTGATAGGGAGCTTTTCCACATTCCACAGATTTAGTCAATTTGGTTTCTGTGTGTTCCAGCTGATGAAGTCCATGTGTATAATCATCTTTTATGTTGTTTAAAATGGTATTTGCAATGAAGAAGTCATTAGTCTTGCCAAATTCTATCATGTGATCTCCGGCATCATGTCTATCACCAAGGCCATATTTTCCAACTACTGATCTTTTCCTTTTTATTTCCAACCTTTGCATTCCAATCACCAGTAATTATCAAATAAATCTTGATAGAATCTCTGTTCAATTTCAGACTCAAGAAGTTGGCAGACTTCTTCAATTTCATGACTTGGTAACTATGTTGTTGTGAAGTGCTGTCCAGTCGGTTCCGACCCATAGCGACCCTGTATAGAGTTTCTGAGAAGCAGCTGGTGAGCTTGAACTGCCGACCTTGCAGTTCAAATGGCTTTGCAGTCTGGCCCATAGAGCCACACCAGGACTCCTACTTATATTTTGCCATGTACATTATGGCATATAATTTTATGTACTTCTCAAAGAAAGTCCATGAGAATAACAGAAAAGGCACTCTGTTCCCTATTTATAGATAAGGGACTAGACATAGGGTTCCTAATAGCTTCTACTATATTATGCTTCCAAAATTCTCTACTTGCATTTGATATGCTAGTACAGTTCCATCAAAATACAAGTAAAAAACAGAAGCTAGATTACCCCAATATTGCCTCTTTTCCACCCTTAACTATGAATAATATGTTAGGCTAAATGTATTTCTGAATTTTATAGATTTTACAGAGGACAGAGTAATCTCCATAGAATAACATGCCAGCTAGAGTGTGAACTCCAAGAAGGAAGCCTTTTGTTTATTTGGTTTTATGATGTATCACCAGGTCTAATGTATCCCCATGGAGTCCTGCTGGCATGGAAATGCTAATCACATAGTTGGCAATTCAAACTCACCATCAGCTCCATAAGAGAAAGATGAGGCTGTCTGATTTTGTTAAGCTTTACACATGGTAAACCCTGTAGAGGGTCACTAGGAATCAGACTCTCTGAAATGGCAGTGAGTAAGTGAATGAATCCTCAAAGCCTGGCACATTTTGTTGTTGTCGTCTGCCATTGAATCAATTCAGACTCATAGGGCCCTACTGAACTCCCCCATAGGGTTTACTAAGCAGAACACTTTACGAGAGCAGATTGTTAGGTCCTTTCTCCTGCAGAGTGGCTGGTGGATTTGAACTTAGCACTTTTCAGTTAGCAGTTGAGCGCTTAGCACCAGGCACTTGTGGCACATTACAGTGGTCAACAGACATTTGTTAAATTAACCAATAAATGAATCGGCACTACTTACCAAGTTGGAAAAAATTTTGGGTTATCAAATCATGAAGCCTGTTATTATCATAACCCAAATTACCAGCTACTTAATTATAATCAAGAGGCTTGGTGTGGCACTCTAGGATACGCAATGGACTGCTAACTGCAAAGTCGAAAGTCAAACCCACTAATTGCTCCTCAGTAACTATTTTGGGTTGGTATGAATCAGAATCAATTCAATGGTACTTAATAACAACAATAACAATTATAAGGATTCTTGGTGGCACACTGGTTAAGCGCCAGACTTAAAACTGTAAGATCATTGATTCAAACCCACTAGCCACTCTACAGGAGAAAGATTAGGCTGTGTGCTCTTGTAAAGATTACAGTCTCAGAAACCCTAAAGAACAGTTCTAATCTTTCCTATTGGGTGTCTATTAGTTGGAACTAACTTTATGGCAGTGGGTTTGTTGTTTTCAGTTTAATTATAATCATAATGACATGATAAACTTACTTGGCAAATTTATAGTTTGGTCTCCCAGGAACAGGCGTCTTGCAATACTTCTCCTGTACCAGGCTCTTGGAAACGCCAGAATTTCACTGAGTCGGCGCATGTCATATTTAAAGGAAGCAGACCCTATATCACAAACAGCTGACACATAAACAAATACAATGTATTAGAACGTGGAACAAATATTTAAAATCGTTAATATTCTCATAAAATTGATATAATAAGACATGATACCATATAGTTGAATTATAATTATGTTATAATATATGAGATGCTTATCAAAATATGTTTTATTTTATGTGTGGCAAGAGATACTGTGTTTCTTTCACCTATTAAAGAACTAGCACATTCTAACACTATTAATCCCATTTCTTTTCTTGAGGCAAGCGTGTCAGGTTGGAATTCTTTTATCACTTTATCATGAAATTCCCAGAGAGGTTTTAAAGCTCTCTCTTACAGCCTTTAACACAGGGCTTTTCTCAAATACAGAAAACAAATCATCAAAATGAGCTGTGATACTAATGTCCTCAAAAATAGTTACACACTAAACCTAAGGCCAGGACTACTATTTTCCTCTTAGACAAACAACAGTGACATGTCATTGTGACAACATTCTGATGGGCTCTGTTATGAGCACTCTGCTCCTGCTTTTTGTGTTCTTCTGCTCCCACCCTTACTTTGGTAGAATTTACCTGTCAATGATGCCCACATCTAAAGTTTCTGTTTCAGCCTGAACCAGACCCACACAGCCTACCCATCTGTCTCCTAGGCCTTTCTATCTAAATGGCCTATAGGCATTTCCTTCTTTATTTACTATCTAAATTAATGGCATTACTGCCCTCTAAGTTATGTAAACTAGAAGTTTGAAGCATCCTTCCCACAGCTTGTTCTCAAGCTTGTGGAGTCTCTTATTTTTCACTGGAAACCATCTCTTCTCCTTTCACACTGTCACAGTTCAGGCCTTTATGCCCTCTTGCTTGGTCTATTTCAACAGCCTTCTCAAGCATCTTTTCTTTCCCATCTTCCAAGCTACCATTCTAAATTCTACATTTTTAATTCCAAAACACCAATCTGAAAACATCATTCCAAAACTCTAATTGCTTCTCACTGCCCAAAGGATGAAAATCCAGTTCTTGTGCTTCAGCCATAATGAGCCAAAATTATGTTTTATACTTTCTGAAACTTCTATGTAACTGAAATCATATGTTGCCAGAACCAAGAATATTTTTACTTGATTTTCAAGATCTAGCCCAAATATCATTTCCTTGGTGAAACCTTCTCATTATACAAACTGTTGCAATAGCATTTATTATGCTACATTATCATTTATCTACATACAAAACCTTTTATTGTTTGCAAAGTGCCTAACACAGTTCACTGTAAAATATAGGCTCAATGTATGTTTGCTGAGTGACTACTGGCTGATTGTATATACTGCTTATATCTGTTTAATTAATAACTACAAAAGTTTACACCCACATAGTACTCGGAATTCTTAAGATTATTTCACATGCACTAAATTTAAAGATTTATCACAATGTAAAAAGATAAGTGAATAAGTGATGTATGAATAGTCACAGAGCTTGTTTTAAAGCTAGATATACAGAGATACAATTTAAGATCTGGCATCAAGCATAATGTTTTAAAAAAGAATCAAGTTTCAATGTCTTAGGTATATTCTGGCTTTTGCGTGATAAATACTATTTCAAGCAGTGATCATTTGGACTCATAGCGCTCCTTTAAGAGTCAAATTACCAAAAACCTTAACATTTTAAATGTTTATGCAAACTGCTAAAAGGGGAATCATCAGTTAATTCTTGAAAACAACATTTTGATTTAAAAACAATAAAAGTGCATACCAGATATGTTTATTAATGTAGTGTCCATTTTGCTTGCAGACTTGTTTACAAACTGGCTTTCAAAAAATGAGGCACCTCCTGAACGTCTTATCCGAGATAAACTCACTTTTACAAATTCAAGATTTATACTAAGAGAGTCTTTCCGGCCAGTGACTGAAGTGGATTCCTCATCCATATTACCTTAAAAACACACACACACACAAACCTCTCAGATAAATGTGCATATACATACATACAACTATCTAGACTATATAGAGTTAGATGAAAATTATGTAGTCAACAAAATTTGAACATAATAATCTAAGGAACAACAGTTCCTAACAATACTTGAATGGGTTCAATACCATAAACATAACAAGATTTTTACATTTACTCAGGGACAAATAACTAGAATTAACATGAAGTTGCATTTTCATTATTTATCTAAATAATTAAGTCAAAAGAAGTTCACTAATATCAAGATCTTACATACATTTGTTGTTGTTGTTAAGTGCTGTAGAGTCGGTTCTAACTCATTGTGACCCTGTCTAGGGTTTCCCAGGAATGGCTGGAGGGATTGAACCACTGACCTTGCATTTCAAACCTGACCTTGCAGTCCATTGCATTATCTTGCAGCGCCACACCAGGACTTTTAGTCTGATTCAAAATGGCCAATAGTAGCCAATTTCAGCTCACTAATACTTAGGATATCTATCTACAAATGTTCCATTTCATTTTTGACAACTTTCGTTTTCCTAGATTTATACTCTGTACAGGAACAGGGTGACTCCATACGATAAGCACCAGACTGCGAGATCCGTGTTTAAGCTTGCCAGCTACTCCACAGGAGAAAGATGAGGCTTTCTGCTCCCTCAAAGATTTAAAGCTTTGGAAACCCTATACAGGGTCACTATGAGTCAGAACCGAGTCGGAGGCACTCAGCAACAATAACAGATACTTAGTATACTCCACATTCTGATTATTTATGATCCTTACAATGTTCTGATTACTGGATCTTTACAACTGTTTCTTCTCACCAAGTCATGTCACATCAATAAATGAAGGTCCTGAAAGCTTTTTCCATGTCACTAAGGACAAAATAGACAGGCATTGGCCATTTTGAATCAGATTAATAATATGGTCTACTATGCAAAGCCATTTAAACTATAAGGTTGGTGGTTCAAGCTCACTATCTGCTCCTTGGAAACCCTATGCAGGGTTGTGATGGGTCAGGACCTACTCGAGGGCACTTAGACAGAAGGCACTTAACAACAATAACAATTATGCTGAGAATGACAAACTATAAGGATTAGAAGTAGCATTCATTGTCAAAAAGAACATTTCAAGATCCATCCTGAAATACAATGCTCTCAACAGCAGGATAGTTTCTCTAAGCCTACTAAGGCAGACAGGTTAACATAAATATTAGTTGTAAATTTATACAGCAATCATTAGTGACAAAGATAAAAAAGTTATGATTTTTACCAACTTCTGCAGTCTGAAATTGATCAAACATGCAATTAAGAACCATTGATAAATAGTGGTAACTGGAATTTGGAAGTTGGAAATAAAGGAACAGTAGTTATAAAACATGGCCTTCGTAAAAGAAATGGAATAGGAGAATGAATGATAGAATTTTCAATACCAATGACCATTGGAAATACCTTTACTAACAACATAAATGGTAACTATACACAAGATTAAAATTGACTTGACAATGAACAACCTCACTAATATCAGAAGGCGGTCAAGGGCTAATTGTAGCACACACTATCAGTTTTCTCATATGCAAGTTCAAGTTGAAACTCAAGAACATTAAAACAAGGAAACTGTTACAACCTGGAGTATATCCCATCTGAATTTAGAGAGCATCTCAAATTTGGCACATTATTCAACACTACACCCTCGGAAACCTTGTACAGGGTCGCTATGGGTCGGAACCGACTCAATGGCACTTAACAACAACAACAACAATGATTCAAGACCAGGTAAGTTGTGGGATGACATCCAGGACATCATACATGAAGGAATAAAAGTCATTAAAAAGAAAGAAAAGACCAAAATGTATGTCAGAAGATTCTCAAAATTGCTCTTGAATGTACAGTAGCTATGAGAATGGAGAACATAATGAACAGAGCTGAACAGAAAATTTCAAAGTACGCCTCAAGAAGATAAATATTATAATGAAATGTAAATAGATTCGGAATTAGAAAATCTAAAGGAAGATCATTCTTGGCATTTCCCAAGCTGGAAAAATTCAACACTTGAATTGAAATACTGAAGGATTCTATTGGCAAAACACTGAATGACATAGGAAGCATTAAAATAAGATGGGAAGTATACACAGAGTCACTGTAACAAAAAGAACTGGTCAAGACTCAACCACTTTAGGAGGAAGCATATGATCAAGAACTGATTTTACTGAAGGAGGAAATCCAAGTTACACCAAAAGCACCAGTGAACAACAAGGCCCTAAGAACTGGCAGAATACCAATTAAGATGTTTCAACAAACATTGCTAGAAGCACTCACTCATCTATGCCAAGAAATTTGGAAGATAGTTTACTTGGCCAACCACCTGGAAGCGATCCATAATTGTGCCTATTCCAAAGAAAGGTGATCCAACAGAAGACTGAAATTATTTAACAACATCATTAATATTGGACTCCTGCTGTGGTGCTGTAGGATCAGCACTGGAATTTGAACCACAGGGTTAGCAATTCAAATCCATTAACTACTACTCGGAAACCCTGTACAGGGTCATTATGAATTGGGACAAAATGGATGGCACTTAACAACAAGAACAACATCATTAATATTATATGCAAGTAAAGTTTGCTGAAGATAATGCAAAAATGGTTGTAGCAGTACATCGATAGGGAATGCCAGAAATTCAAGCTGGATTTAGCCAGAGGCCCTAGAACAAGCATTATCATTGCTAATGTCAGAAGGATCTTGGCTGAAAGCAGAGACTACCAGAAAGACTGTTAACTTTTGTTTCATTGATTATGTGAAGGCATTCATCTATGTGAGTCATGACAAATTATGAATAATTGTGGAGTATGAATTCTAAAACAATTGTGCTCGTTCAGAAATTGTACATAGACCAACAGAGTAGAACAAGGGAATACTGCAGGGTTTAAAATCAGGAGAGGTGTGTATCCAGGTTGTATCCTTCCACCATTTTGAGCCAATTTGTATGCTGAACAAATAATTTGAGAAGCTGGACTGTATAAAGAAGGTGGCATCAGGAATGAAGGAAGACTCATTAATGAAGTGTGATATGCAGATGATGTAACCCTGCTCTCTGAAAGTGAAAAAGACTTTAAACACAGAGGAAGATCAGAGTACACAGCCTTTAGTATGGAGTACATTTCAGCATAAAACAAAAATCCTCACTCCTGGACCAATAAGCAACATCATGGCAAATGGAGAAAAGATTGCAGCTGTTAATTTAATTTTACTTGATCTATGACCAAAAGACATGGAAGCAGCAGTTAAGAAATAAAATAATGTATATTGCACTGGGCAACTCTTCTGCAAAAGACCTCTTTTAAAAAACAAAGATGACACTTTTAGGACTAAAAGTCATGGCATTTTCAATGGAAAGGAATAGAATGCATGGTATTTCCAATTGCATTCAACTATATGCATGCAAAAGGTGGAGAATGAGACAGGAAGAATGAAAAAGAACTGATGCATTTGAATTATGGTACTGGTAAAGAAAATTGAATATACTATAGACTGTCAGAAGAATGAACAAATCTGTCCTGGAAAAAGTTCAGCTAGATAGAAGTCAGGCAGGAAAGACTTTGTCTCATGTACTTTGGACATATTATCAGGAAGGATCAGTCCTTAGAGAAGGATGTCATGCTTAGTAAAGTAGAAGATTAGTGAAAAAGAGATGGGATTGAAAAAGTAGCTGCAACAATGGTCTCAAACATAGCAACAATTGTGAAGATGGCACCAAACCAGGCATCATTTCATTCTGTTGGACATAAGGTCACTATGAGTTGGAACTGACTCGATGGCACCTAACAATGGTATTATGAACTTTTCATAGTTCAAGTGAACTTTAAAATACCAGTGAATAGCTAATTATCTAATTTTAAATTAACATGACCTGACCACTTTAAGATTTTACTATGTATAGAATATAAATTCTTATATAGTTACATGAGAAAACAATAAAACATTTAATAACATAAGTAACTTTTGATTTGCAATGAGTTTATTATGTTGGATATATCACCTATACAATGCTTGAACATTTCTTATTTAATTAATATACTTGATGGCCAAGAGTAGTCAATTTTTTGTCAGTTTTATATTCAGCAAATTATATACTTTGTTTCCTTAAAATGATTATAATCCCCTTTATATTATTTATTTTATATTCTTATTCTATGGGGACAAGATCAAAAGGAGAATATAAAAAGTTTCTGATCTTGGCTTGTATCCATCATTGAAAGCATCATGATTTTTTTAAAGATGAAAGCTTGAAAATAAGCAGTGAAGTTAAAATAGATATAAACATGCTCAGTATACCCAATCCTCCTGATCCAGGTGTGAGTCCAGAAACAGCAGTTTTTTGTTTTCCTGCTCCATATGGATGGAACACATACAGGGAAAAGTCAGACATGCATGCAGTGAAGCTCAAACCAGATGAACTGCTGGTGGAACTTGTCAGATCTGACTGACTACTACTATGTCGACTTCTGCCAAGAGGGCTGCCTAATCCTGATGAACCTAGAGTGGACACAAGAAACCCAAAATATTTATAAGCCACAAGGAAACAAAAAGATCATTAATAATATGTTCTTAAAACTAAACTTGACTGCAAAAAGAAGTTAAAATATTTAAAACTTTACTAGATCAATAGATTCAAATATTTGAAATAGAAATGACTTAAGATGCTTTTTTTTTTTTTTTCTGCAAAGGGTTGAGTACTCTGTTCATCTGTAAAATATTTATATATATGCATGCTTAGCCAACTGTATGATTTCTTGTTTGTTTTCTCCTTTACTCCATTGAAAGTAGGCAGTGGAAGAAAGGTCCAGAATAGTTGGGATTGAACAGAAGGGGGAATAGAACAAACTGGTCTTTGTTAGTATCTAAATCTGTTCTTAAGATGGTCTCTGAATTCCAGTGGGATATGCTCAAGGTCATATTTTGGCTCTCGTGAACTTGTTTTAATTTTCTTCAGTTTCAGCCTGAACTTGCAATATGGGCAGTTGATGGTCTGTTTTACAGTTTTAACCTGGCCTTGTTTTGGCTGATGATATGGAGCTTTTCCTCCATCTCTTCCCACAGATGTAATCATTTTGATTCTTGTGTATTCCATCTGGTGAGGTTCATGTATAAAAGTCGACTTTTATGTTGTTTTAATAAAGAATTTACAACGAATAAACTGCTGGTCTTGCAAAATTCAATCATGGCATCTCCAGCATCATTTCGATCACCAAGGCTGTATTTTCCAACTACTGATCCATTCCTCTTTGTTCCTAACTTTTGCAATCTACTCAACAGTAATTATTTATGCATTTTGATCGCACATTTGATTGATTTTTCAGATTGAATAAGTTGTTATAATTCTTTAATTTTACCATTACTTGCTTTGTGGTGAGTGTGTAAACTTGAATAACTGCGGTATCACAGACAGCATTGTACTTCAAGATCTTTAAGATCTTTTTTCGGAAATTTTATTTTGGTCCTTTGAATGATATCAAATAAGCAATCTTATTTTAATAGAAGAAAAGACAATGGTCTAAAGACCTGCCACAGTGTTAAGTTAGCAGAAGCTGGGACCTTCCACTGGTTTAAGATTTCCAGAGAGCAAGGGATCTTGGAAACATTCACAAGCAAGCCTCCCGCTGCAGGCCCTGCTATAAGCTCCTTAAATGCCCAGTAATGCTCCCATCCAACTCTGAGGGAAGAGGCCCAAGTACCTTCTTAATATCATTGTTTTGCTTGGAGTCATTAGTTGTCTGGGTGTTTTCAATCTAGAAGTTTTCATGGCTTCAGAAAAAAATTTTTCTGGTAAGTCTACTACATAGCTATTTCCCAGGGAATGTTAACAGGTATTATGCAAAAGGGAAGAAGGGAACAATGGATTAAATATATTTAAACAGGTTTCTTCATTGCAGTTTCTCAGAGGCTTTACAGTACTAATGTAAAGGATTTTCTCCTCCTTAGGAACATGGAAGGGGAAACACTAATCTCTGTCTTCTACCAAGTGTCAAAATATCTCTCATACACTGACCTAAAGCTTCCATTTTTAGTACCTGCAGATGCTGGGACAGGTAACATTAATACTGAGAGCAAACAGTGTTAAAAAGGACAGTTGGCTATTAAGCCTTGGAGTTAGAACCAGAAGAGTCAAACATTAAGCCTTAACAGGCCTTATTTGCAGGAGTCAAGATAGATCTTGAAATGTGCTTTCTGACTACAAATATGACACCATTCTTCTTGGATTTGTTATTCCTGACATAGTAAGCCATGTGATTGTCAGAGTCAAAATAACCAATACTAGTCCATTTCAGCTTACTAACGCCTAGGATATTGACCTTTATTCATTCCATTTCATTATTGACAACTTTTAATTTTCTGAGATTCATACTCCAGAAAAGAGGAAGACCCCCAACAAGACGGGCTGGCTAAATAGCAGCATCGATGGACTCAAGCGTGGCAACAATAGTGAGGTTGGCCCAGGATCGGGCAGTGTTTCATTCTGTTGTGCCTAAGGTCACTATGAGTCGGTACTGACTCGATGGCACCTAACAACATTATTATTAATAAATTTTTTGCAACTGATTCTTTGTTGCAGACTGCAGGTATTGGGGTGTTGAGGACCAGTGTCATGGACGAAAATTCCAGCACGTGGCCGCGCTCCTACATGCTGGCCAGAGACCCTGTGGGCTCAAGGAAGTAACCTCTGGACGTCCCGGGTTCATTGGCATTTACGAACTCACTGTGGGGCTAACTCTGTATAATTCTCTTTAGTCCTCTTAATTCATGCTATGCTTCGAACCCCTGTAACTGTAGCCTCTGAGAAAAGGGTTTCCTAATGTGCCTCTCTCAATGTCTCCACTGTG